ATAAAGAATGATCGATTGGTAGGAAAACGGGGTGGGGAATTTTTCTGCAACCTTTTTGGGGATTTTCCCAGGGTCCCTGGTCTGCAGGATTTTAAAATGATAAGTTTGGTGGTCTCTGAGGTCCAAAAGGTTGGCGATCCCTGTTCTACAGGGTTTGTCAAAGTAAAATTACTACTTGCTTATGTTGAGATGGATATCATAAAAAAAACTTTTAACCACTGGCGGGTGCAGAAAAACACAGTTAAAAGACATGGATAAAGTCTTATATGTACAATATAATACAGTAGATAATCAAAGTACGCAGTCTGAAGGCTCCTGATTGGTATTTTGGTAAGTCAAATGGATTCACTCTGACAATACTCCTTTTTTTTTTTCTCCACCCACAAAAGATAAGACTGCATTATATGTTTACTGAGAACCTTTGGACCGTTCTCCCACAGTTTGCTCCAATTAGTATTTGAAGCTTTGCAAACATTTGTGTTACCTGAACATGCTGATGGCCTCTTTTATATTTAGATTATGCCCTTCTGTCTTTATGACGTCCCAGTCTTGGAGTAGAATAATCATAAGTATGCTGACTGGGTTCAAAATGAAAGGATTACTTATTTATGATGAGATACATAGACATTATGAATTCCTCGGGGTGCCACAGCAATCAACCCCAGAAAAAATGAAAACAGCTTTCCATCATTGCTTGGCCTCAAATATACACAGCCGGGCCCTTGTTCTTAGAAACTCTTGATGCGTGAATGGCTATCCTTCCTTCTCTTCTGACCGCGCTCAACAAACACTTGTCAGAATCTTACCTCCAATAGTACAGGCTCCAAGTAAGTTCACAATATTGATGTGATTGCCAAGGTAACTCAGCACCTTCAATTCTGACATGAGGGCTTCTTTTTCGGTGAAATGAGCACTGGCTAAAAAAAGAAAAAATGGAACTCAGCAAATGGAAGTGAATCAAAAAAGGAAGGAGGAAGAAGGAATACTAGATATGTTTCCCTTTTTTGAGTTTACAGTATAAAAAAAACAGTAAAAATGGGATAAAAACCAACCCTATTGTGAAGTATTCCAATATCCAAGAATGAGTCTGGTCCCATATTGCCTGATAGCTGCCAAAACTACTATCTGTACAGGTAGTCCTCGACTTACAATGGTTCATTTAGTGACTGTTCAAAGTTACAAGGCCCCTGAAAAATGTGACTCACGACCGTTTTTCACACATACAACCGTTGCAGCGTCCCCATGGTCACATGATCAAAATTCAGATGTGTTAAGAGTTTGCGGAAAAAATTCAAGTCCAAAAAACACACAGATGACTGATTCAGCAGGACCATTAACTTCTTTATAAACATAATAATATGAGTAAAGTTTACAATACCATTTGCAGATTCTTTCAACCTAACGTAAGCAAAAACACAAGCAGCAGCAGCAGCAGCTCAGAGCAGATATCAGACTCAGAAATGAAGTCTAGTTTCAGTTTCAATTCTCAGCAAAGCACACAGAGCCCAACCACATCCAGGCTGTCAGCTCCCATTGGCTGGTTTGTTGCCATGCTTTCTCAACTTGGCTGACTTTGTTAACCATGTCTCTGCCAATTAATAAATACACTCTGACAAAGAGGCTTAGCAAGTAGTTAATATTTATGTTGGTTGCAGTGTCCTGGGCTCATGCGATCCGCTTTTGCAATCTTCTGACAAGTGAAATGAAGATTCCCTTAAGAACCCTGTTACTAGCTGAACAAAAAGCAATGATTCACTTAACAGCCGTTGGCAAGAAAGGTCATAAAATGGGGGGCAAAACTCACTTAACAAATGTTTCCCTGAGCAACATACATTTTGGGCTCAATTGTGCTTGTAACCCGAGGACTACCTGTTATGATGTTAGCTTTTTTTAAAAAAAATGGCTCATGATCCAGATGGATCTTGACAGACTAGAACACTGGGCTGTATCTAACAAGATGAAATTCAATGTAGAGAAAAGTAAAGTCCTACACTTAGGCAAGAAAAACCAAAAGGACACATATAGACTGGGTGAAACCAGGCTCAATAGCAGTAACTGTGAGAGGGATCTTGGAGTCTTAGTGGACAACCACCTAAATATGAGCCAGCAGTGTGCAGCAGCAGCCAAAAAAGCTAATGCAATCCTAAATTGTATTAACAGAGGGAAACAATCAAGATCAAGGGAGGTACTAATACCACCCTATAAAGCCTTAGTAAGACCACACCTAGAGTACTGCATCCAGCTTTGATCACCACATTATAAAAAAGATGTTGAGACTCTAGAAAAAGTGCAGAGAAGAGCAACCAGGATGATTAGGGGGATGAAGGCTAAAACACAGGAATAATGGTTACAGGAACTGGGCTTGGCTAGTCTAGTGAAGAGAAGGACCAGGGGAGACATGATAGCAGTCTTCCAATATTTGAGGGGCTGCCACAGGGAGGAGGAAGGGGTCAAGCTGTTTTCTAAAGCACCCAAAGGCCAGACAAGGAATAATGGATGGAAACTGATCAAGGAGAGATTCAACCTGGAAATAAGAAGAAACTTTCTGACAGTGAGAACATGATACAGAAGTTGCCTTTGGAAGTTGTGGGAGCGCTATCAGTTGAAACTTTCAAGAAGAGATTGGACTGCCACTTGTCAGAAATGGTATAGGGTCTCCCACTTGGGCGGGGGATTGGACTAGATGACCTACAAGGTCCCTTCCAACTCTGATTATCTGATATCTGAAATAATAATTTAAATAAATGATTGGGAAGCTAGGTTAATATGCGCAATGTACATAATATACATAAGCAAATAGAGGCCGGGAACATTCTTGAAAAATAAAATGGAGGGTCTAGCAGTATTTCATGGATCTTCTGGTATGAAGGTGGGGGGAGGGAAAGCAACCAATTACAACCACCCCAGTGAGTATTTTGTGAATGGCTCTAAGATTCCTATTGTGCCTGCCCTTTGGAACAACAAACCCCTGCAGATTAGTTTGGCCCTGGCCTCGCAGCTGTTTCCTATGTCTTCAAAGGACATGGAGCCTGTAAGTTGGATGAGCTGTGATCTTTGTTGACATGATGGTGATGGGTCGAGGTTTTTATTACACTTGAGTGCCATTATGTGCCCTTATGCATTATTAATGGGCCAGTGTGGTTTATTGTTATTATTTTCATCCTGTTGATTTGAATCCTTATGTTCTCCGTCCAGAATTCCAATTGCAAATTGGGTGGTTATGTAATGTAATAAATATGTATATATCAAGCTCTTAAAAGAGCCATAAATGCCAGTAGGGATTCCTGGTGCATTAGATCAGATTCTTTCCTTGCATGATACAGATGGTCTGTGGGAATGTCCTTAAGAGAGAGAGAGAGAGAGAGAGAGAAGAAGAGGAAAAGTTGCAGCCAGGGCGATGATGATTAGGTAGGAGATCTCTCAGCCCGCAAAGGGAATGGGGACATGCAAACATCTCAGGAGGAAACCTCCCTATTTCTCTGGAAAGCAAAGGCAAGTGGAAGGCGGATGTCCTTTGAGACTTGCAAGATTTATGTTTGCTTTTTATTTTTATTTATTTATTTATT